TCCAGGACCTTGAGATGCTTCTTACGGAGCCACTCCTTAGTTGCCCTGGCTATGTGTTTCAGGTCGTTGTCATGCTGGAAGACCCAGCCACGACCCATCTTCAATGCTCTTACTGAGGGAAGGAGGTTGTTGGCCAAGATCTCGCTATACATGGCCCCATCCATCCTCCCCTCAGTCGTCCTGTCCCCTTTGCAGAAAAGCATCCCCAAAGAATGATGTTTCCACCTCCATGCTTCACGGTTGGGATGGTGTTCTTGGGGTTGTACTCATCCTTCTTCTTCCTCCAAACACGGCGAGTGGAGTTTAGACCAAAAAGCTCTATTTTTGTCTCATCAGACCACATTACCTTCTCCCATTCCTCCTCTAGATCATTCAAATGGTCATTGGCAAACTTCAGACGGGCCTGGACATGCGCTGGCTTGAGCAGGGGGACATTGCGTGCGCTGCAGGATTTTAATCCATGATGGCGTAGTGTGTTACTAATGGTTTTCTTTGAGACTGTGGTCCCAGCTCTCTTCAGGTCATTGACCAGGTCCTGCCGTGTAGTTCTGAGCTGATCCCTCACCTTCCTCATGATCATTGATGCCCCACGAGGTGAGATCTTGCATGGAGCCCCAGACCGAGTGTGATTGACCGTCATCTTGAACTTCTTCAATTTTCTGATAATTGCGCCAACAGTTGTTGCCTTCTCACCAAGCTGCTTGCCTATTGTCCTGTAGCCCGTCCCAGCCTTGTGCAGGTCTACAATTTTATCCCTGATGTCCTTACACAGCTCTCTGGTCTTGGCCATTGTGGAGAGGTTGGAGTCTGTTTGATTGAGTGTGTGGACAGGTGTCTTTTATACAGGTAAGGAGTTTAAACAGGTGCAGTTAATACAGGTAATGAGTGGAGAACAGGAGGGCTTCTTAAAGAAAAACTAACAGGTCTGTGAAAGCTGGAATTCTTACTGGTTGGTAGGTGATCAAATACTTATGTCATGCAATAAAATGCAAATTAATTATTTAAAAATCATACAATGTGATTTTCTGGATTTTTGTTTTAGATTCCGTCTCTCACAGTTGAAGTGTACCTAAGATAAAAATTACAGACCTCTACATGCTTTGTAAGTAGGAAAACCTGCAAAATCGGCAGTGTATCAAATACTTGTTCTCCCCACTGTATCTGCCTTCCCGTTCTGGGACTCAGGGATGTAAGTGATCTTAAACACGAACCGGGCTAGAAACATAGTCCACCGAGCCTGGCGAGGATTCAGTCTCCTAGCTGCCCGAATGTATTCCAGGTTACGGTGGTCAGTCAAAATGAGAAAAGGGTGTTGAGCCCCCTCAAGCCAATGCCTCCACACCTTTAGGGCTTGTACCACGGCTAACAGCTCCCTGTCCCCTACGTCATAATTACACTCCGCCGGACTGAGCTTTTTCGAATAAAAAGCACAGGGGCGGAGTTTAGGTGGTGTGCCGGACCGTTGTGAGAGAACGACCCCGATACCGGCTTCAGACGCGTCCACCTCCACTTGGAATGGTAAAGCGGGATCCGGGTGCGCCAGCACCGGAGCCGAGGTAAACAGGTCCTTCAGTCTCCCAAAAGCCCTGTCCGCCTCAGCTGACCACCGCAAGCGCACCGGACCCCCCTTCAGAAGGGACGTTATGGGAGCTGCCACCTTTCCAAAACCCCGGATAAACCTCCGGTAGTAATTCGCAAAACCCAAGAACTGCTGCACCTCTTTAACCGTGGTTGGGGTTTGCCAATTACGCACGGCTGACACACGGTCAACCTCCATCTTCACCCCTGACGCAGACAACTGATATCCCAAAAAGGAGACCGACTCCTGGAAGAACAGACATTTCTCTGCCTTGACATACAGGTCATGCTCCAACAGCCTCCTCAACACTCGGCGCACCAGGGCTACATGCTCGGCTCGGGTAGAACTGTACACCAGAATATCGTCTATGTACACGACTACTCCCTGCCCCTGCATGTCCCGGAAAATCTCATCTACAAAGGATTGGAAGACTGATGGAGCATTCATTAACCCGTATGGCATAACGAGATACTCGTAATGACCGGAGGTAGTACTAAATGCTGTCTTCCATTCATCGCCCTCTCTAATGCGCACCAAGTTATATGCGCTCCTGAGGTCCAATTTTGTGAAGAACTGTGCCCCGTGTAATGACTCCGTCATAGTCGCAATCAGAGGGAGTGGATAACTATATTTCACAGTAATCTGATTGAGACCGCGGTAATCAATACACGGGCGCAAACCTCCATCCTTTTTCTTCACAAAAAAGAAGCTCGAGGACGCGGGTGAAGTGGAGGGCCGTATGTATCCCTGTCTCAGAGACTCGGCAATGTATGTCTCCATCGCCCTCTTCTCCTCTTGTGACAAAGGATACACATGGCTCCGCGGGAGCGCAGCTCCTGCCTGGAGGTCTATCGCACAATCCCCCTGTCTATGAGGCGGCAATCGCGCCGCTCTCGTCTTGCTAAACACGAGTGCCAAATCCTCATACTCGGGGGGAATGTGCATTGCGGGCATTTGGTTCGGACTCTCCACCGAGGTCGCCCCTAGGGAGACACCCAGACATAGCCCCTCACACTGGGCAGACCACCCCTTAAGAGCCCTCTCTCGCCACGAAATAGTAGGATCATGTGTAATCAACCAGGGAAGCCCCAGCACCACCGGATACGCAGGAGAGTCGATCAGATAGAGCTGAATCGTCTCCTCATGACCCCCCTGCGTCTCCATCCTAAGTGGCACTGTGACCTCCCTAATCAACCCGGATCCTAACGGACGGCTATCTAGGGCATGTACAGGGAAATTATTATTTACCGGAAGGAGAGGGATCCCTAACTCTACACAGAATTTGCGATCTTATGGTTATGTGTACGACAGAAAGCTCTGGGTAAGTGGGGCGCCTACTCACCTGGGAGGACTCCTCCACCAGGAGACCCTCCCCAGCACCTAGCCGCGGTGTGCCCTCCACGGCCACAGTTGGTGCAGGGGACGGCCCCCCTCGGGCTCCTTCTCCTCCGTTCTCTAGCGCCAGCACCTCCGAGCTCCATAGGGCTCGGCTCGGAGGTGCTGGAGGGTGGAATGGGCGACCCCCACCCGGGACGCCCGCGGGTGGCGAGCAGGGTGTCCAGCCGAATGGCCATGTCAACCAATTGGTCAAACGAAAGCGTGGTATCCCTGCACGCCAACTCTCTACGGACGTCCTCCCGGAGGCTGCAGCGGAAGTGATCTACGAGAGCCCGCTCATTCCACCCTGCATCTGCCGCTAGAGTCCGGAACTCCAGTGGAAACTCCTGAGCGCTCCTCATCCCCTGCCGGAGGTAGAATAGACGCTCCCCCGCCGCCTTCCCCTCCGGTGGATGGTCAAACACTGCACGGAAGCGGCGGGAGAACTCCGCATAGGTGATAGTTGCGGCGTCTATTCTCCTCCATTCGGCGTTGGCCCACTCCAACGCCTTGCCGGTGAGACAGGAGATGAGGGCGGAAACGCTCTCGTGTCCCGAGGGCGCCGGGTGTACGGTGGCGAGGTAGAGTTCAACTTGCAACAGGAACCCCTGACACCCGGCAGCGGTGCCGTCGTACGCCCTCGGGAGCGAGAGCCGAATCCCACTGGGTTCCGGAAGTTGGACAGGCGGGCTGACCGATGGTGATGGTGTGGTAGGTGGGGGTGTGGGTACCCCGCTGGTCTCCCATCGATGGAGGGTGTTCATAACTCTGTCCAGAGCGTGCCCGATTTGGTTAATCCTGTCCTCCTGTCCACGAAGGCGCTCCTCGATGATCTCCGTGGGTGCGGTTGCTCCTGCTGATTCCATTGTAATGGTGTGTAATTATGTCAGGGTTGAGTGTAGAGGTAGCGTAGAATCACACGCAGGACACACAGAGGTTTCGAACAGACGTCTTTAGTGAAGTCCAAAGAACATGTCAACCACGGCAACAGGCAACAGGTGAACTTTACGCACAATGGTAAAGTACAAAAATAAAGGCGCACAAAGTGCGGGACTCTCTCTAACAAAAATATATAGAGAGAACAGAACAACGAACTAACACAACACGTGACATCGAACAATTACACACAACACCTGACCAAACTCAAGAGAACTAAATAGGACGCATGATGAACACTAACAAGGAACAGGTGTAACAAAACAGACAAAACCAATCAAACATAGAAACATAGAACGGTGGAAGCTAGTACTCCGGAGACGACGACCGCCGAAGCCTGCCCGAACAAGGAGAAGGAGCAGCCTCGGCCGAAACCGTGACAGTTACATTATTTGTTCTGTCGTTTCTGGAGCATTAAATTGAAATTGCAACCAACTTTCTATGGCTTGTTTTAGAAATAGTGATATTTGGGAGATTATTTCCTTTTCAAATAGCTGAAAGTGAGAGGTTGTAATCTGAATAAAGGGAAAAAGGCCATTCTTGAACATTGGGTGAGACAATCTTACTAATTTGCTAGAGAACCAGTTCGGATTTAAGTATAACTTTTGTATGACTGAGGCTTTTAGTGATAGGTCTAATGATATATTATTTAATAATTTCTGTCCTCCGAATTCATATTCATTATATAAATAGGCCCGTTTAATTTTGTCTGGCTTGCCGTTCCAAATAAAATGGAATATTTCTTTTCATACAATTTTAAAAAACTGTTCGCTAGGCGTAGGCAAGAACATGAGCAAATAGGTAAACTGGGATAATACTAAAGAGTTAATCAGGGTGATTTGTCCACAAATTGACAGGTATTTACCTTTCCATGGTAGCAAGATCTTATCTATTTTTGCTAACTTTCTATTAACATGTATTGTAGTGAGATCATTTATTTCATTTGGGATATGTATTCCGAGTATATCCACATAACCATCGGACCATTTTATTGGTAAACTACATGGTAATGTTAAAATAGTACTCTTTCATATGCTTGCCTCATCCCATCCCATCCTGGTAGTAGTTTCCCAGCATCATATGTAAAATGTGTCATATTGTAATATACCATTTGATCTGTATAAATGGCAGTGAAAGTATCCTTTACCATGAACATGGCCGGTTCAACATTGTCCAACATCTCACAGCCAGACATTCTTTGCTGAACTTGAACACCTTCTGTGAGGTTTAAGTGGTGCTTTAGGTTAAATGATCTCTCTTTCATGTGGTGGTACATAATTCCAAATACATAAGCTCCGTCCTGAACTTCGTTATCATGTATTTTGTTAGGGGTGTTATGTACCCAGTAGATAAAGTGTTTCATGTTGGAGTCATAGTAAGCCACTTGAACATCATCCAACATCACCACAACCGTAAACTCAGGGAAAAGTGTCTCTCCACTTATATATGTTCCAAGTGCCCACAGAGAATGTGATCCTGAACCAGGGAGAGGAGTGATATTATACACAATTATGGACATTTGATATTTTATAACATAACAAATCATTAAATGAGTTTGATATAAAGTAAGTAGTCCATCTTACCTGCGTTGACAATGGTGTAAAAGGAAAGAAAAAACAAGAAGACAGACAGTCTGTCCATGATGTTGAGTGTTCATTATTTTACAATAGCCTTGCGTAGCAGGTTTCTAGCTCTCAAGTGAATCTGACAGACTTTTCTTTTCACTTATCAAAACAAGGTATTTTAATGTTGTTGAACAAGTCAAACAAGTGGAGGTGGGAATTCAAGACAATGAAAACTGAGGGTGGAATGAGGAATAGAGGGTGAGTCATGTTGCATGTTGCACAGCCAAACACCAGTCATATGACACTGTAAATGAATTACAAAAATCGTTCAGTGAAATCCTTAGAACTGAATGTGTGTGTGTGTGTGTGTGATCATGTTCATTTTCTGTCTGTCTGTCTGTCTGTCTGTCTGTCTGTCTGTCTGTCTGTCTGTCTGTCTGTCTGTCTGTCTGTCTGTCTGTCTGTCTGTCTGTCTGTCTGTCTGTCTGTCTGTCTGTCTGTCTGTCTGTCTGTCTGTCTGTCTGTCTGTCTGTCAGTCAGTCAGTCAGTCAGTCAGTCAGTCAGTAAGTCATACACATTTGTGCTAGAGTGTGCAGCATGTGTGTGGCTTGGTTCACTTGTGCGTGTGTATGTGTGCATTAGCCTGCTAATTCTGCCCCTCACTGTTTTCCACCTGTCCAGCTGTCCTCATACATACAAACAAACACAATCCTCTCATCCCGTCTCCTCTCGGAGTGTGTGTGCAGGAATGTGAATTTTTAATGACACCTTCTGAACACAGTTTACGATCCAAACAAACTTGTATAAGAGGCTAAGTAAGATGTGGACCACTTTGCCAAGAAAATGACTGACTGTTGCCTTTAAATCAATGAAACAGGAAAAGTAAGGGAAAGTTTTGGGGCATTCTTGACTTGAATCGACTTGTGGAAAATATCAGTTTCCCATGAATACAGCTGGCCAAATATTAACCACCATTGGGTATTGAATCCACTCTGACTCAGTCGGAACATGCTTTGGAACGGAGACTTTGACCCATTTAGTTTCGGTTGTTTGTGCTTTTGGATGGATATTACAGGAGCCATCTTTTGTTTTAAAATGGCAGGGTGATATGAAATTATGTATTAATTATTTTGCCATACAACGTTTTAAAACAGTAGCTGCTCATATAAAAGTTATTTGTCTATTTAATAGTACAAACAAACAGACATAGTTGTTGCTTATGTTCAGTTCCTATAACGGTTCAACCCTAGACTTTTATAATAGAATTCTGAAAGACTAACTAAGGAGTGCCTTATTCTTGTAATTTTTTCAGGATGTGGAGTGGTAGAAAACAGACAGTCTAGCAGAGTTAATATTGCAAAATTCCAATAACTATCACAGAATTCCCAGGTTTTCCTAGGTATTCCCTCCTGATTCCGGAAAACTCCAACCTGGATTACTGGAAAACCTGGGAACTTTGGGAACGTTACCAGGATTTATCAACCCTAAGCATAGCCAAGACAAGATAATATAAATCATTTCAATGCCAGGGAAACTATTATCTGACTGCAGCAGAAGCCTTGTTTATCATTCCAAAGTATTGTTGCAAGATGCAGTGTTAAATTCCATAATGTTGTAACTATGTGGTTTGGGACCTGAAATTTAAAAGACAATTAATTTTTAAACCCTCCTGTGTCTGTGTTTTGGTTTCGTCCTATTGACTTACTGGTTGACATCTTTATGTAGTTCTAATCTGTACAAAAGTACTGTAAAATGCATTATAATCTGGCAGTATAATTTCATTTGACACTTTTCTTGAACAATGTGCATTGTAAAAAGGTGATTATTTAACTAGAGTTTAATAAACTAAGCGATGCATAAATAGTGGCCCTTTTTATTTTGCACATTCCTGAAGAAGTGTGAAATTAAACCACACTGCCTGATTATAATGTTTTTGCACAGATCTACAGTATAGTATCTGTCCAGTCATATGATCCATCACATTAGATGTTCTATAGTATCTGTCCAGTCATATGGTCCATCACATTAGATGTTGTCTAGTATCTGTCCAGTCATATGGTCCATCACATTAGATGTTCTCTAGCATCTGTCCAGTCATATGGTCCATCACATTAGATGTTCTCTAGTATCTGTCCAGTCATATGGTCCATCACATTAGATGTTCTATAGTATCTGTCCAGTCATATGATCCATCACATTAGATGTTCTCTAGTATCTGTCCAGTCATATGGTCCATCACATTAGATGTTCTATAGTATCTGTCCAGTCATATGGTCCATCACATTAGATGTTCTATAGTATCTGTCCAGTCATATGGTCCATCACATTAGATGTTCTATAGTATCTGTCCAGTCATATGGTCCATCACATTAGATGTTCTCTAGTATCTGTCCAGTCATATGGTCCATCACATTAGATATTCTATAGTATATGTCCAGTCATATGGTCCATCACATTAGATGTTCTATAGTATCTGTCCAGTCATATGGTCCATCACATTAGATATTCTATAGTATATGTCCAGTCATATGGTCCATCACATTAGATGTTCTATAGTATCTGTCCAGTCATATGGTCCATCACATTAGATGTTCTCTAGTATCTGTCCAGTCATATGGTCCATCACATTAGATGTTCTATAGTATCTGTCCAGTCATATGGTCCATCACATTAGATGTTCTCTAGTATCTGTCCAGTCATATGGTCCATCACATTAGATGTTGTCTAGTATCTATTTGATTTCGTCAAAGCAACAAAATAGCTAGGGCTTTACAATGATGGTAAAATTTGGGAGACATTTTGGGATTAAGTGGGTTGAAATCTTCCTAGAAGTGACACATTGTTGACGGAGGGACATGTCAAAATGCAGAATTTTAGCACTTTAGCTAGCCATTATTTATATAAAAAAATCAGATTTATTGAATTCTCCACCTGAAGAACCCAATTATGTTTTTTCCCCTACATCCAATATTTTTTTCTGACTGTCCACACGCAGTTTTACATGTGACGCATATCAGATTTACGCATTTTTACACTGATGTAGCCTCTGAAGTAGCACACAGATGCAATGCTCATTTCCTGTCACTGTTCCTTAACATTTTTGGGGTGGTTGTCATGGTAATGGCAGGTCATGTGTAAACAATTCAGAGCAAAGAAAATCTGATTTGAGCGTCCAGACTAATATCACATGTGGAGCCGAATAAGCTAACTTCCTACATTTCAACGCATTTTGTAATTGTTCCGAGAGAAAAATTAGCAGTTTTATAATGCTATTCTACACATTTTGTCATGAGGATAAAAAATTGACATTTTAAAGCTAATTTCCTGCAATTCTACACTTTTTGCTATCACATGATATCTGGGGGCCCCGACCACCAAGTCTGTCCGTCCCTGCTTGTGTGTGTGGCTGTGTGTGTGTCAGATATGGACATTGTTGGTTATTTTGTGCCCCAGTGCAATTTCAGGAAGGAAGAACGACAACCAGGCAAGTTTCACAATGAACAATACTTTATTTGGAAAAGGGTAGACAGCACTAACTCTGACTCATTTCAGATTGACAAATTACATTTCTCTTTATTAGCCATTAGTCTCCAATACAATTCAGCCTTTTTTCTTCCTTTAGGTAAAACACTGGAGCGTGCAGAACTGGGGAACTTAATTAACTTAAGCCAGTAAATATGGCTTGTCCCAAATGGCACCCTATTCCTTACATAGTGCACTACTTTTAACCAGGGCCCATAGTGCACTATGGAGGGAATAGGGTGCCATTTGGAGCACAACCTTTGTACAAATGCCCTTTATGTCAGTAATGAAATGTAGATAAGATATTGATGTTTGTTTTATATGTAAAATAGCAGCAAGACAGCAGGTTTAGGAATGTCACCAGTGGTTCTAGGATTTAGCTCAGAGGGCTAACACAGTATCGTGGTGCGCAGGAGAACTAGGTTTGAACCTAGCTGGTTTCATTAGGAAGCAGGTAACATGGAAGGATACTTATTTCTAAATGTGGAATGGAGACATTGGCTTTGCAGCCTTTTGATATACCACACCATTTTGTATACATCTGGCCCTTCATTGGACATTGTGTTAACAAACCTCCAAACGAGCTTCAACGCCATACAACACTCCTTCAGTAGCCTCCAACTGCTCTTAAACACTAGTAAAACTAAATGCATGCTCTTCAACCGAACGCTGCTTGCACCCGCCCATCCGACTAGAATCACTACTCTCGGCGGGTCTGACCGAGAGTATTTGGACAACTACAAATACCTAGGTGTCTGGTTAGACTGTAAACTCTCCTTCCAGACTCACATTAAGCATCTCCAATCAAAAGTTAGATCTAGAATCGGCTTCCTATTTCGCAACAAAGCCTCCTTCACTCATGCTGCCAAACATGCCCTCGTAAAACTGACTATCCTACCGATCCTTGACTTCGGCGATGTCATTTACAAAATAGCCTCCAACACTCTACTCAACAAATTGGATGTAGTCTATCACAGTGCCATCCGTTTTGTCACCAAAGCCCAATATACTACCCACCATTGTGACCTGTACGCTCTTGTTGGCTGGCCCTCACTATATATTCGTCGCCAAACCCACTGGCTCCAGGTCATCTATAAATCACTGGTAGGCAAATCCCCGTCTTATAAAATAAAAATCCAGAGCGACTTACAGTAGTGAGTGAATACATTTTCATACTATGATAAAACTGTTTAATTGTTTTATAATGCATACAACATTCACCTTGTTTTAATACTCATGCCAGTCTTAAAATGGAGTGAAATAGAGTGTCAGATTTCTCTCCCTTCCACAGTGATAAACAAGTTCCTGAGAGAAGTTACCATATACTTGACATTGCTTTAATTACATGAATTGTTGTCATGTTGTAGTTAACATGAATCAATACATGAATCAATTAGGTTACATTTTATTGTCTCTAATAAAGGTATTATTGTGCAGCTAGGGTGAACATACACTACATACAATACAAAGCATAGAGACAATGTAAAGCCATTCCAATAATAAACAGAACTCATAAACATTATCAATGTTCCTTCTAAACCTAGCCCAGAGACT